CCGTAAGATTATTATTGACGTGACCCGAATAATTTAGTAGGCCCCCATTGGTGTACATATTTTCTTTCTCATTCATTGGTGTTTTCACACGCAAATAAAGAAAAAATGTGTTTTCACTTTTCATATCTCAGCATTTATTGGTTATTCATAAAAGCATGGTAAGACAGAAAAACAAAAAACAGGTAAAAATTAACTTTCCTGAGTCGAAATGTAATAGCATTTAATGGTTATTCTGAAAATTGTTTGTTCCACGCTTTCTGTAGGGAATACTAACGTGCGGTCAAGTCCATCGCACTACGGATTCAGAACGAAATCGGACGGTGATGGTATCTCAATCTTCGGATCAAAGGACATATGGATCGACCATTGTTCTTTGTCAAGATGTAAGGACGGTCTGATCGATGCAGTGATGGGTTCCACAGGGATCACAATATCGAACAACTTCTTCTCTCACCACAATGAAGTCATGCTTCTTGGTCATAGCGACCACTACGAGCCAGATAGTGGCATGCAGGTCACAAACACACACTAGTGACTAGTCCATATATATAAAATCCCTTTTTCCTAGTGAATATTAGTTTACTTGATTATATAATGAGACTAATGTTTGTGTGATTTTTTCAGGTAACTATTGCGTTTAATCACTTTGGAGAGAAATTGGTACAAAGGATGCCGAGGTGTCGTCGCGGATATATCCACGTGGTTAATAACGATTTTACACAATGGGAAATGTATGCGATTGGCGGTAGTGGCAACCCGACTATTAATAGTCAGGGTAACCGCTATACCGCCCCAACCAATCCGTTTGCCAAAGAGGTAACTAAACCCAAATGATTCAACAATGTTGGCTACTTTATTTTTAGGTCATTTGATAAAACTTGAATGTAGTAGTTGATTTTCAACACAAATTTATATGATATGTATCTCTATCGTATTATTATTGTTAAGTTAATAATCTCGTTCTAATTATTGTGTAGGTGACTAAAAGAGTAGAAACTCCGGATGGCGATTGGAAAGGGTGGAATTGGAGATCGGAGGGAGACATTTTGGTTAATGGAGCGTTCTTCATTGCGTCTGGAGAAGGTGCGGAAATGAGGTACGAGAAAGCGTACAGCGTCGAGCCTAAATCCGCCTCGTTCATCGACCAAATCACATTTCATTCCGGCGTTCTTGGCGTTGGCGGCAGGTTTGGATTCTACATTCTATCATACATTACAAGTCATTCACTCTTTTGCCAAATTTTTATTTTTTAAAAAGAAAATGTCATTTCTTAACCCAAAATCACTTTGAATCGTCTTTTTTTTACCATATACCATATACAATCGTATTATATAGATGTCTTTGTACTCTTTTTTGTTTTCTACTACTTTTGCCTTTAACTTTATACTTTTTCTTTTTTGTCTAGTTTCTTTTTACCCCACTATTTTTATAATCATCGCTCATTAACCCCTAATAATGAAATGGAGCTGTTTGAATTTACAGGAATAACAATCTTGGCATGTGGACTACTACTGGTTCGGAAGGTAATGGCGGTTTAGATTCGCATAATGACTACTATACGGATGAAATGTCTGGATCCGGTTCAACTAACGGGTTATCTTTTTCAGTTGTTTTAGCTTTCATGCTCAGCTCAGTATCATATTTGGTCATGTTCACTTCTACACAAATGTGCATGTTGTAACATGATTTTACCTTTTTAATTAAGAAGCATTAAAAAGATTGTTTCCAAACTTAGTTCTTGTGTATTCTTTTCTTCCGATGGTCAATTTTTTTTCTTTTCTTGAAAAGATAATTTGTGGTAAAGTCAATTCTCATTTTTATTAACAAGACATCAATGTCAGGCATTCACCAATCACTTAATAATTGTCCAGAACTATCACTCAATTTGTACAATCAAGTTTGGATTTTCATGGGCCTTATTTTCATAAATTCCACGTGTGTATCATATGACATATGGTATACAGCATATATGTAATCTTGACATTGTAGTAGTCATATGACTCATATCCTATCTTTAATTACATAACCAATAGAGATTATATATTATCTTCTTCGTTTTGTCTTTTCATAATTTTATTATACAACAAGGGGGCATTTCATACATGCATCTACACTTCATACGATATTAATATATTACTTTAGGATATTGTAATTTACTATATTGAAATTATACTTTTTCCCTAAATAAATAAAATATTTAATACTTGTAACAAATCATTTGGCACAAAAGTACACCAAACAATTAGTTTAATTCAGATTCAAGTGATATAGCCCATCAACAAATAATGATGTTAACCAAAAAACTAATGATTTTCCATGGATTATTGCATGATCTTCTCATGTTTTGTTGTTGTATATAACTTAGACCTGATTGTACATATCAATGCTATATTATTTATTTATTTTGTTATGATGGATATTTGGAAAACTTTTTTCACTATTGCACTTTTAAATTTTACTATTCAATAGTGAAAATAGATAGAAAAAAACTCAATTATAAGATCAAACAAGAAAGGGATTTATCAACATCAAATGTTAAAAGACGATTTCATCATAGTATCAAGAAACAAACTTTGAAATTACGACCATAGGGAACATGAAAACTCTTCAAAGTCTCTAGTCTCTTGAAACCACCAAGAACCAATGTTAAGGCTGTTCTTGCTGTTATTCTCATTGTGACAACTGCTATTGTCTTCAAAATGATTTGCTTCACTTTGATCTGTAGAAATGTCTGATATCCAATCCGAAATACGGTTTTCGTATGGTGAATTCATAACACCGAAGCTCTCTCTTTCGCAAATACCATCATTGTTTTCTTTACCATTTTCCATACTTCTCTTGTTCACAATTTCATGAAAACCATGTTCTTGAGTCTTCCTTGTGGATTCTGTTTCCTTATACTTGCACAACAATTCTTCTCCTGTATTTCCTCTCAAGTCAATGATCTTATCTCCACCAACCACATCATTTTTGTATCTACCATAGTTTTGAGCTTCCCCTTTCTTTCTAAAGTTAGTCCTCCAATAGTTTTTAATCTCGTTATCAGTCCGACCGGGTAATCTTCTTGCAATTTTTGACCACCTATTGATATACAAGATGTAGTTAAAACCGGTAAAAACAACCATCTAACTAAAAAAGATTCAAACAGTAGTTTTTTTTTTTTCTCACTTGTTACCCCATAGAGCATGGAGCTGAAGGATGATCACTTTGTCTTCTTGGCTCATCGGTCCATGCTTCAGATTCGGATTCAGATAGTTCATCCACCTTAGCCTACAACTCTTACCACTCCTATTCAAACCTAAATATGAACACAATAAACATATGTAAAATTTCTAACTTTGGAAAGCGACGGAAGAAAGGTTTCAAAGTATACCGGAAACTCTTGCTAGAGAATCCCAACGACGTTCTCCCGAAAGGTTAACGAACTTCACAAGCCGTTCGTCCTCTTCTTCGAGCCATGGCCCTCTACGAAGTGTTTCCTCCTTCTTACAATCCATTTTCCTTTCTTTCTTCTTCTTTTTTTGTTTGTGTTACTTAACTAAATCCTTTCTATATTTGTTCTTTGAGCTTGGAATTAAGCTTGCTTTGTCTTTACTTAAATAGTAAAGTCATTAGTTTACCCAAATTGGGAAATGTCCAAACAAGCTGACGAAGACACAATGGTTTAGTGGATAATAACATCATGCATCAGTTAGGTTATTGTTTTTCCTTGTTAGTCATCTTTAAGTTTATAGATTATAGATTTGGATTAGGTTCCAAGTATCTTTTAAAAAAAAAAAATATCATCATCAAGTTATGAATTTTAATAAAAAATAATTCAGGGTTTATTTCAAATATTTTATAGAAGTATCCAATCATATTTGGTTTTGGGAACTCAATTTTTAAGGAATTTAATAAATGAAGATGAAGTATTATAATGGGGTTGTGATAAAAAGATAAAACCAGATCTTTTTGTATCTTCTCTCCACCCATTCAAAAGTATAATCCAACGAAGCATTCTTTAAGTTTTGATTAATTAAGTAGTCTCTAAATTTTCTTTAGCTTAGTAAATCTGTAACTCATTTCGCAACAAAAGAGAATAAAACCACTGAAAAGCTCAGTAAGAGAGTAAAACCAGTGAACTATTGATTGATGTCCAGTCGTAATTGAGCCGGTTAACGAAATCTGTCAATGTTAAAATCGGCTTGGTTCGGTTCAGGGTAAAATCGATTGGGTTGGGTTTGGGTAGTGGTAATAAGTAGACATGTGGTTGGGATATGTTATGTTCTTTAGAGGATCGATCAAAATTGGCAAATTCCGACCCGA